ATACTATAATAATAATAATTGTTATAGTTAACTTTTTATATCTTAGTTTGCAAGTAAATGCAGAGACACCAGATTTGTAATGGGGTATAAAATCTGATAAACTATACATTCTAACACGTTGAGAATAATGAGCATCCATTTTTGCTTTTAAACTAGCAATTTATATTTGTCACATTCGTGCTCTGGATGTTTACCTGTCCGTGTGCGCATTTTCCTGCTGTTTTCGTTGTCTTGCATTCAACAAACTAAACAGTAAAAAATTTAATTAACTGCTTTGAATGTTTGTTTGTTTGTGTGGAGGGTAGAGTAGACAAATAGATTATTGTGCAGATGTTTTATGCGCATGTGTGCGTGTTTACTTTTTAGTGAGTGCCTGCGAGTACGTGTTCGTCCCAGGAGGAAGCAGTAATGGGGGTAATTATAAGGCCGAGGCACTGATGGAGCTACATAAAATGTAGGCRGGGTAGCGGAGGTGTTGCAGGGCCTCTTAACTGCTCTGCTTCGACTACAAATATAGGCAAAAGCTAAAATCCTCATCATACAACAGCTTTGGTGGTGCAGTATAAAACCTGCACATCCATACATTCTCAAACAGGATGTTTAGCGACTGAAGACAAGGAGCATAGACAGAAGCCAGTTGCAGTTCTGCCAGAGACACTCAGCAGCATCAGAAGCTGTTAAAACTGCCATCACCCGTTCACACACACCTCAGATTATAGTCTGCTTTCTGTTACCTTCTTTTCAGCTTCTGTTCTTTTTTCCCGCACTAAATAAAGAAAATCCTCCTGATCCTCTCCTTCTGCTTTTTAAATATCATTACTCTTGTCCTTTTTACTTTCTACCTCTTCTCCTGCATTTTCTTGTTTGTCTTCAGCAGCTGCTCTGCTACCGCGTCCTCGGTCCAACGTTTGTTGTCACTGGCCCTAGAGAATAGATTGGATTGATCCTCTGTAAATGAAAGACTGGCMGGCAGACAAGTCATCACTGGTCAGTGCATCAGAGCAGATGGATCCCTCTGTTCCTCAGCATTTGTCTCATACGTAAACACTCACGCTCGGTCCTTTTTATCTGCTGGATGTTTCACTGGATGAGACACACACACACTGTCTGCCACTGATGCCAACGCTCATCCTGCGGATGACACTCAGGAAGAGTGAAGCAAAGCAAAATGTCCTGCAGAAGCTGCTAGTGCCACACGAGAACGGTGACAAAATGCAGCGATGTGGACAGTGCGAGGGAGCGGGACAGAAAGTGAAGCAGAAGCTTGTAAAATTAATGACAAAACGCCCTTATTAATGTTTGAACTTTCAGCTCCTTCTGTCCCAATTTGTTCTTTTCCCTGTTTGGATTTTTCTTTCCTCTGATCTTGACATTAGCTTTTTTTTTTGCCTAGCCTCCACTAAATGAAGGAAGTTCCCATAGAAGGAGCTATTGGGAGTAGCRAGAGAGCTGGACCTAAGCTTAATGTATAAAAGGGCAATCGAAGCTGAAAACCATTATTCCTGAAAGCAGAAAAGACTCTCCCTATTAAAGTCGTGTGTGTTACAAATGCACAGATCTAAACCCTGCACTTACAACAATAACAAACTTAAAAAGGCATTAACAAAAGAAACATTATTCTTTGCTCTTCAGGCACCATAACACTTAAAGCATACATATCAGATCTTTTTGCTTTCTCTAATGTTTTTTATAATCCTGCTATTATGTCAGAAGTAAAAAGTATTAAGAGTTTTTGTGTCACTCGTAAAATGGAATAAATTTCACCAATGATTACTTTCTGAGTGGTTTTAATGGTTCATGAGTATTTTGCCAACAGACAGGCTCGCCACAAACATTTAATGTTAAAGTTTGAATCAAAGAATTAGTGCGATCTGTTCTGAATAAGTGCTGAGATTACTTTCAGTTAGTAACACATCAAAATGTTGGTAAATATTTGTAAATTTGACTGAGTTGTGGCCATTTAAATGTTTACTGTGGTCAATATGTTGTGGCAGCCATCATAAATAGGGCTGAAGCCAAATGTTAATTAGTTGTAGATGTACGTCCAATGATTACGTTCTGAAAGTTTTATTAAAATTCATCCTCATGTTTATGAGCTACAGCTCCATTACAGCCCTTTCCCCCCAGCGCTTAATATACAAAATAAATCAGTAGCATGATCAGAGAAGACGTAAAAAGGTGTACACTAAAGGCTCAGTTGTAGACAGTTAATTAAAATTCAGAATAAGCTAAAGGGCCAGAGAGCTCTGAAAGTAGATAAGGATCAGCTATTGACTGAAGGTGGGGGGTTGTTCTTCAGACATGTCCATGTTCAGCTGTGTGTGTGATGGGGATGAAGAAATTATGAGGTTATTATGGTTTGGGTTAAAAGTTGAAAATAGCATTAAATGTAATCTCACGTTTTATCATGAAATCCCGTGCAGTTTGTTAGCACTCAGTGTAAATGTTGTGAATTACCGTTAATACGACACAAAATTTTAGCTCAGTCTCTGTAAACCTGACAGTTGTATTCATTTTTTTACTAAAGTCAATGAGTTGTGACATCTTGGATTTGATTGACTCCAAAAGTGAATCAGTTGTAAATGTACATACAATGATTACTGACTAAAAATGTCATTAAAATCAGTACACGGGTTCGTGAGATAACTGCTAAAGTAAGATACTTGCTAACAGACAAATAGGGATGCTSCAGAAGGTAATGTCAGATTTGAGGAGATGTGGAGAGGCACTCAGCCTTGTGTAGCGTGTTGTTACATTGCTGGTCTCGTTTGCGTCGTCTTGCTACGTTGGTTGGTTTAACCTCAGTGTGACCCAGACGTAGAGATGRAGCCCAGTCTGCATCACTTTCTATCATCTCATAAGCTGGCTGACCTGCAGTCACATTGAGATGACAGAGAACTGACAGATGACAGCAGTGAAATGTCAAGACTGTGCTAGTTGTTTTGGTTTATAGCTATTTTAGCCCTGGTTTAGTTCTGACTTAGACAGTAGTTTTAGTCAAAGCCTGATTTAGCTCTGTTTTCAGACCTAGTTTATTATTCATTCATTTAGATGTAGTAAACAACTCAACTATAAACAGGACGACATAAATACAGTACAGAATGCTAACTGTAGCATCACAGACTAGAGAAACAAAGCATAAAATAAATAATCAACTTACCTTTATGAAAAAAGTGAATGAAATGTAATGAAAATTACAGTCACCCATCAAATATATTATATTGTCAGTTGAAATTATTGAAATTTTATGAGTTGGTTGATCATAATATTTTGCAGGTTATAAAGTTCTTAAAAAATTATTACCTCTAAATATTCAATAAAAGTTTGTTAAGAGAGTAAGTAATTATAACCTTAAGGGTATAGAGATGTTTGTAAAGCCCAAAATTCGAAAAAATTTGAAGGACATGTGTACTTCGGTCCAAGGAATAAGATTGTTGAACAATCTGGAAAGTGATTATAAAAATTCTGGCTCAATAATTTTGTTTAAGAGAATGATGAAAGTTAGATTGTTGAGGAGATATGAATTTGTATAGTGTGCATTCATAAGAACCATTGTTGGAGAAGGAGTTGAAGTTTTGGTTATGTTTAGTTTTTTGAAGACTATTATTGTTTCAATTTATTGATTTTAAAAAAAGGGGGCAGATATCAATAAGAATTCTTTTCTTCTTTCTGCTACCTTTCATTTTATTTGTGTT